TTTATCGAGAGGAATGGTTGTATGAAATGTAAAAAAGAAATCATAAGTCTGGATGTTACTGACTTCTGAAAAATTTAGCGATTTTAAATTTTCTAAAGGTTGTTTGGAGTTTTTGAGAATCCACATCTGATTAACACTACTTCTAGAATATGCTGTAGCACAATACGTCTGAAGTTTCTCCTTTACAGCAGTTAATATTTTTGTAAGGAGTAAAGATAGGGATTTGGTAGAGCATTTGCTAGACCAGGCAATGTGTCCCTGTTTGTAAGGATTTTATGAAGTTTAGCAATCCAGTATAGGTAAGGTAGGTTTAACAATTGGTATGAAACACGCCAGCCAAAATACGACCCAATGATAGGTTATATTTCCTAACGATGTCATTATAATGACCATAGAGTGAAGTTACGAAATGCTGACTTTAAACGAGGTTGTTGAAATCCCTGTAACATCAACTTATCTGTCAGTGGCCTGCCTCGGTTTCAGTTAAATCAATTCATAAGCTTACAAATAAGTTAACCGACATGAAGTTGCACGAAAGGCACTAAAATAAGATTAATGCTAAGACATGTATGTTTACAGTATGTGTTTAGTATCGACTTATTTAGCGTTTATATTGGCGTTTATATTGTTGCGTATTAAAAAGAGCATGTGCAAATTGGCAGATATCAATGGTAGAAATGTATTAAAAGTCTGTGTAATGGCACCACGTAGAATCCAAGATGACCATTGCGTCGTCTGTTTACTATTTTAATTTCCAAATAAATACAATATTTGTAACTATCGTCTTCTCTAGAACCATTGTGCCAATAATCATAAAACTCATATGGAAGCTTTTCCTCATAGTGTAAAAACTATTATTTTTTAAATCGTGACCCACGCGGAGATACAGTTGAGCCACAAAAGGTGATCAAAGTTTTACAGGAAAATATAGGAAAACAATGTATAAAATCTTCTTTGCAAGAACAGTTAAGCCGTAACTATTCATATTAACATGAAAGCACCCTCAGGTGGTGTAGATTCAAATTTGTTCAAATCATGGTTCCCGGGGTCAGGGTGGAACAAGAATAGGATATAAATTTCATCATGGAGGGCCATGAAAAGTTCTATTATTATGCAACCATTCCCAGGTAGTAAAAATTTAAAGTTTGTTCAATTAATTGCCCCTGGGAAAGGGTGGAGCGACAATGAGGTATTCTCGTTTTACTTTGGAATGTACAGGAAAATGTTTTTCAAAAGAACTACTGGATCATTATTATCCATACTGATATTCAAGCATTCTCTAGTAGAGCAGATTCAAATTATTGCCCCTGGGGTACTACGTGGCCTGTAAAGGTGGTCCAAGTTTTATTTAATCGTTGAAAAAGGACAGAGCCCTGATCACTTGTATCATTACACTAGCATTCTCAGTATAGATTCATAAATTCAAATTTGTTTAAATCATGGCCACGGGATAAGGTGGGGCAACACGATGCAAAATATAATTTCAGAATATCTATGAATCTTGAATAATCTTAATTAATTTTAAGAACGGCAGAGGAATGTTAAGTAAATTGTATAAAAACGCAAGCATCTTCATGTAGTGTGTATTTAAGTTTGCTCAATTCATGGCCCCCAGGGATACTATGGGTTAGTTTTATACGAAGGAATATGTGTGAAAGAGTCTTTTAAAGTCTTCTTAAGCAGAGCCATGATTAGTATAGTAATGAACAAGAATACTCAGGTAATGAGATTTCAGGTTTGTTTAAATCATGAATTCAGGGGTAGGGTGGAGCCAAAATAGGGAATAAAAGTATAAAAATGAAAATTCAGAGAAAAAGTCTTACAATTCATCCTTCAGGAACGACATATAGTTATGTGAAGTAACATTTATATATATCAACATCCTCAGATAGTATACATGCAGTAACCGGGTTACTGGAATCATGAGCCCCGAGGTAAGGAGGTTTTCAAATAGGGATTTAAGAAATTAATTTTATAATTTTTTCTTTGATCAAGATATCAAAGAAAACTTGTAAGAAAACTATACGCGTAATATTGGTTGTGCTACTTCTATTTGCTTAAACTTTCATGAAATATTTCGAAGTAAAATACTTTGAAAGGGAAATATGTAACGTCGGCCATTATGCAGGTCACAAATCTGATAAATACTAAATAATTAAAGTTTTACCTTGTAACATACTCTAAAAATCTTTTAAATCTTTCACTCAGGGCAATGATTAGTTACATTAATAGAAAAGCATCCTCAGTTACAGTAACTGTTGATTCGAATTTGTTCAAAACTTGTCCCACAAGGAATGGTCGGACACAGCACAGGATTATAGTTAGAGTTTAACAATGGAATGTTAAAATTAGAATAAATCTTTCAAGAGTAAGAGGCCAAAACTAAATCAATATTACTACCATCCTTATGTAAACAACCCTAAGTTATGTCACTTCAGTTTTTTTTTTCATCTTATGGATTCTAAGATTAGGGCTAAATCTTGCAAAGCGAATCAACTGGGAGACAAAAACTCCATATGCTTGCGATAATGTTATATTGCTGCATAAATAACGGGAGTTGACAATAGAAAAGTCAGTTTGTCATCAATGTCTTTATTCAGGGAAATATCCAAATACAAAGGAGACCTGCCAGACTCTGTGGTGTCTTTTATTCCGAGATATCAGAGTGTCTTTGATTAGCAATTGTGATTGAAGGAAAGTTAAAGTGACGATTGAAATTTATAATAGAAAGAATTTTACGTCCCTAGATATAAACGAATTTATTTGAATATTATATTATACACTCCAAACGAAAGTTAAATAATTACTTCCTCAAAATTGATATGTGATAAAAATAAGTTTTTAAGTCGGCCTGGTTTTTCAGTACCATAATTAAATAGCCACTATGTAAAAAAGGAGACTCTTTTTCATATAGGACATAAAAAGAGAGAACTTTTAATTCTGAATTTGACTGTTGAAATTAAATAAAAGATGGGTATCTTTTCTAATTTGTATGCGCATTATTGTTTTAAACTGCAGATTGCAGTTCAAGTTGAACGTTTACTGCGATCAGGATTATTTTGGAGTCAATTGCACCACCTACTGTCGGTCACGTGACGACAATTTTGGTCACTACACCTGTGATACCGATAGTGGATCTAAAATTTGTTTAAAAGGTAAAGCTTGTGTATGATAAGAAGTAGAATATGTTTGAATGCATAAATTCTGGATCCTTTTTTTAAAGAAATATTAATTGTATACAATTTCTAACAGGCTGGCAGGGGAGGAATTGTAATGTTCAGATTCAGACTAACCATTGTCAAAGTTCACCTTGCTCAAATAGCGGCACGTGTCTCAACTCAGACGGAGGCTATCGTTGCCTCTGTGTTGAAGGATTCACTGGTATGACGTTAAACAATAACTGTAACTGTTTCATTCTCATTATTGAATTTATAATCAAATATTTAATGCTAGTTTTCCTGTTTGAAATTTATTAAGTAAACGTACCACATAATATTGTGTAAGATTACTGCCTACATCCATATGTAACTTTAAATTATCATTGAAATCACATTGGCATTATTTTTTAAATGCAATTGATTAGTCCCCTACAGTAGATCAATAAAAAGCACTGTTTTAGTTTAAAAGACAAATACTCCAAATAATCTTTGCTTGATCATTGAAAAATTAACTTTATTTCATGGGATGTTGCATCTTTAGGCACACGATGCGACATAGAAAACCTTTGCCATTTTAACCCTTGTAAGAATGGCGGTACTTGCCAGACCCTTGAGGCCGGAACCTTTCGGTGTCAATGTACAGATGGGTGGATGGATTCAACATGTTCCTTACGAGTGCCAACAACTAACAGCAGGGACAAAGGTAAAAATCCGATGATGAGCAAGATATCGTTCACATGGGTTGTCACCCTAAAATCATTTGTCTTACATTTTAATTTTTTATATGTTATTAAATTCATATATTTACATTTGTTGTGCTTTTCTACTAAACCAACTTAGTGATCGACTGCGATCAGGATTATTTTGGAGTGAATTGCAGCACCTACTGTCAATCACGTGACGACAATTTTGGTCACTACACCTGTGATACCGATAGTGGATCTAAAATTTGTTTAAAAGGTAAAGCTTGTGTATGATAAGAAGTAGAATATGTTTGAATGCATAAATTCTTGAACTTCCTTTTTCTGAGATATTTTCATTGTGTACGATTTCTAACAGGCTGGCAGGGGAGGGATTGTAATGTTCAGATTCAGACTAACCATTGTCAAAGTTCACCTTGCTCAAACAGCGGCACGTGTCTCAACTCAGATGGAGGCTATCGTTGCCTCTGTGTTGAAGGATTCAATGGTATGACATTAAACAATAACTGTAAACGTGTTATTCTCCATATTTAATCTATTATCAAATATTTATTACTAGTTCGCCTGTTTGAAGTTTATTAAGTTAACATATCACATAACATTCTAAAAGAAAACTGCCTACATAATTACTTTAGATTATCATTGAAATTACAATGCCATTATTTCATTATTTTTTTAAATGCAAATGATGAGCTCCCTACAATAGACCCATAGAAAGTACTGTTTTAGTTTAAAAGACAAATACTCCAAATAATCATTTGCTTGATAATTGAAATATTGATTTGGGATTGTTGTTATTTAAGGCACACGATGCGACATAGAGGACCTTTGCCATTTTAACCCTTGTAAGAATGGCGGTACTTGCCAGACCCTTGAGGCCGGAACCTTTCGGTGTCAATGTACAGATGGGTGGATGGATTCAACATGTTCTTTACGAGTGCCAACAACTAACAGCAGGGACAAAGGTAAGAATCCGATGATGAGCAAGATATCATTTACATGGGTTGTCATCCTAAAATCATTTGTCTTACACTTTAATTTTGTATACATTATCAAATTCATATTTTTTATTTTCTGTGTTTTTCTACTAAACCAATTTAGGAATCGACTGCGATCAGGATTATTTTGGAGTAAATTGTACTACCTACTGTCGGTCACGTGACGACAATTTTGGCCACTACACCTGTGATACCAATAGTGGATCTAAAATATGCTTAAAAGGTAAAGCTGGTGTATATTAAGAAGTACAATATGTTTGAATGCATACATTTTTGAACTTCCCTTTTCTGAGATATTTTCATTGTGTACGATTTCTAACAGGCTGGCAGGGGAGGGATTGTAATGTTCAGATTCAGACTAACCATTGTCAAAGTTCACCTTGCTCAAATAGCGGCACGTGTCTCAACTCAGATGGAGGCTATCGTTGCCTCTGTGTTGAAGGATTCACTGGTATGACGTTAAACAATAACTGTTTCATTCTCATTATTGAATTTATAATCAAATATTTAATGCTAGTTTTCCTGTTTGAAATTTATTAAGTAAACGTACCACATAATATTGTGTAAGATTACTGCCTACATGCTTCTGTAACTTTAAATTATCATTGAAATTACATTGCCATTATTTTTTAAATGCAATTGATGAGTCCCCTACAATAGACCCATAGAAAGTACTGTTTTAGTTTAAAAGACAAATACTCCAAATAATCATTGCTTGATCATTGAAAAATTAACTTTATTTCATGGGATGTTGCATCTTTAGGCACACGATGCGACATAGAAAACCTTTGCCATTTTAACCCTTGTAAGAATGGCGGTACTTGCCAGACCCTTGAAGCCGGAACCTTTCGATGTCAATGTACAGATGAGTGGATGGATCCAACATGTTCCTTGCGAGTGCCAACAACTAACAGCAAGGACGAAGGTAAAAATAAGATGCAATCTGATTGAAATCAGATCCTTGATCCGCTCACATAGATCGTAGCGATCTAAGTGAAAGGATCAAAGGATCTGATTTTAATCAGATTAAAATCAGATCAGGAGTAAGGTATCATTTACATAGGTCGTCACACTAAAGTTATTTGTCTTACATCTTGATTTTGTATATATAATAAAATTCAGTTATTTACATCTGCTATGTTGGTTTACTAAACCAAGTAGGAAATTGATTTGAATGCCATTTTTTATGTAGAGTCACGCGTAGAAATATACACGGAGAAGCTTGCGCAAACGTCGCGTCACGATAGGGCTAACGAGACGGTAACGAAAATAGAACGATATAGGGCAGCAACAAATTCAGATCTTCAGATATATTTATGCTGGTTTGAAACATATAAATTGTGTGTGAAATAACACAGACTTGCAGGTGTGTAATTCACACAGTCTTACAAATAGGCATATTTTTCATGAGGCGCCAGTGCGCTTCATACGACATGCCAACGTTATAAGCTTGTGTGATTTACACAGTAATACCACTCACACAGCTAAAAGAATATTACTGTAGTACATATCCCAAGGTGGACATGCACCTTCATTTTAATCTTAGCATTATAGAAAATATCTTTTACGAAACCCCAGTTCTTTGGATATTTCCTTATTACTATCCGACATTTCGTGTAATATGAGTTTTGGACACCATAAAACATTTAAAATAACCAGCAAATATGTTTACTTGATACGCCTTGAGAGAAAGTTGACTTCAAGTACTGCTTGGTGTGTGATTTGAACAAACGTTTCTGATGTAAGCAGCTGGTAAGGTTTATATTCTATTATTCTATTATTTTATCTTAGTTATTTTCTACATTTATTTCATTTACATGTTTCCCTAAAAAACAGTCACTGCGTTTTTCATCACCTTTTTAGCATCTTTATTCTGCTTAATTTGATTCTATTTATAGAAACACGAATTTGACTATTTCAAAGTACGAAAAATTTCTATTATGATAGTTTGTCATGGGAGTAACCAAAACTCATCATTGCTTTTGTCTATGAGTTAAGTATGTACTTGATTTAGGACAGTATGTACATTATCTTTATTTATATTTACAAAATATGGTGTGCATTCATGTAAGACCATATGTGACATTAAACTTTTTTTCTTTGTATTTTATTGGAGGTTCTTTCCAGCTACTTATAATCCATATTGGGGCTACCCTGAGTGTCTTGTCCACAATCTAGTCTTGTTGTGAGCCGTACTTATTCTATTCAGCCTGTGGAGTAGACGGACCGTGTGAGAACGAAAACAACCAAAGAACATTGTTTTTTTCAAATTATGTTTTTGTATTTTATTAAATATGTACAAATGTGCAACATATAGTTTCAGAGGAAAGAACATGCAAATCTCTATTATAGACCATATGTCTGTAGCTCACACATGGTGCCACAGGCACTTGTTTCTGCAAATCAATGAATTTTTAAACCCATAGTATAATAACACAAGGTATCCACTCCAACTTACATGGAGTTCCCCCTCCCCAGAATCGCACTCATTTACTTTACTTTTTGCAAACTGTATATTACCATTATCTTCTACGATAATCTACTAGTATCTACAAAATGGCATGCTTGTCTTTATTTTTTTTATCTCCGTAAACAGCGTCATTATTCGTCTCACATCAGGAAATACCTTGTGTTATTACACGTATTATAATATGAGTTAAAACAATTATATTATTGCAAATACAAGTACCTGTGTATGGTACAGCTAGTTTCTTCAGGAATTATCGTAGTCTTAGTGCTGACCTTAACAAAAAAATACTATTAATAGGTAACTATATTTTACTATAGTATCAAAGTTTTCACTATAGTAGATAATTTTTTATGGATTTCGGATTGTTATAATCTATGTTCTCCAATATTAATACATGAACATTTTTAAAATTTAAAATTTTATCCGTATTTACACTCGTATATGCACACCCCTTACCAGAATAAAAGCCTTCTGGCACACAGTTGCTGAATTTTTCGTATGCAATTTTTTTCTGGCATACAGTTTGCGGCATACTTGCAGCAAAGTTCTGTCACATTTGCAGTAAACAATTCCTTTTATTGTGCAGTTTGCTGCAAGTTTGCGGCACACACTTGTGGCATATTTCTGGCATATAGTTAACTGCAAGTTTGTGAAACATTACTGGCATTCAATTCCATGTTAATATATCTTACTTGTACAAATTAATTTTACAAGAACATAAATAACTCAACGCCTTAGCTTATAAGAAAAGAACACTCAAGCAATTTTAAAAATCATTTTTGAAAATTTCAAGGGAAAGATTGATTGATTGATTTTATGGTGTTTTACGTCCCATTCGAGAATTTTACTCATATAGAGACGTCACCATATACCAGTAAAGGGCTTCAAATTTTGACCTTTACTCGGCACTCAAGGCCATTGAGCAGTGAGGGATCTTTATCATACCAACGCCTGCCATGACACAGGGCCTCGGTTTTTAAGGTCTCATCCGAAGGACCCGCAACTTTCACTTCAAAATGCCAGAGAGCATGGCGAAGGATCAGTTGCTACCAATTTTTTATCGACTTTGGTGAGTCGCGGCCGAGGTTTGAACTCACGTCCTCCCGATCACGAAGCGAGCGCTCTACCGACTGAGCTACCGTGACGGTTTCAAGGTAAGATATATAACACTAACAGTAAAATCAATGTTTAAAAAAAGAGTAGCACAGGATGAGAACAAAAACGTGTTTGTTGAACAGTTACACTGTATATTTCAGACAAAGAAACGGAACAAAAATAACTTAATACATTCACAACCATTAGTGCATAGAAATCACTGAGTATGACACAAATTTAAAATTGGTCTTCCTGCAAAATGAATACAGGATTTCTGGTTAACAACAACCATTACACAAAGAAACAAATAAAAGAAAATTTACCTCTTACAATGAATTTCAACTGCACATATCAATGCAAAAATGATGCACAAAATGAATAAAAATCAGAGTATTTTAAGGTCAAGATCTAGTAAATGAAAGGTGCCTACAGATTTCTCAAATTTGAGAAATAAATTCCTTTAATGGTGCTTTATAACTTTAGCTTGGTCAGATAAGGTGTTTCGGGCATAATTTGTAGATGAACAAGACGAAAAATCATATTCTAAACTGTCATTTTCAATGGAAAATTAAGAAAATTGGTCATGAATACGGGAGTTTTTTTCCATATCAGACAAAGAAATGCATCCAGATTGCCTACAGTCTCTCAGAAAACGGTAATTTGTATGTTCTTGGCCTCTTCTTTAAAATAATATTAAATTGAATATAGGTATCGGGATTACTTTTCACATGATTTCAAATTGAATTCTATGAAAGTACTTTATTTTCTACAAAATTCTACTAGAGCCATAAAGTACGGGAAAAAGAAAGTTAAAATTGATTATGACGTCATAATGGATCTAGTACCAAAAAGTTAGTCTGAAGTCATTTACTAGATCTTGACCTTAAAGATAAACTTATTCAAACATTAATTGGGTATGTTCAGAAGAAAAATTGGGTATGTTCTGAAAAAAAAATGTGTTCAACAATAATGAATTGAAAATGTGAATGGAGTTCAAGGGTTTCTCGCCGTCAAATTTAAAGGCTGTCTTAAATTAGCTGTGTAAGCTTGAATTGAATGCCATGTTAAATTCTGGTTCCCTCATCCTCAACTCTTTTTATTGCAAACACTAAAAAAGATCATGAGGGGAAAAAAATTCATAAACAAACTGTGATATGTGAGAACGTATTAAAATAGAAAATCAGCAATACTATACAATTCTTATTCTTGCACATGTATAATACAATCAAAACTGTCTTAGCGGCCACTTGAAATCAACGTCCATTCGAGACCAGCAGCAACTTTCAATTCCCCTGACACCATATACTATGTATTTTAACATGTTTAACTTGAATAAATGACCATTAAGTCTTGTGCAACACGGTCAGTGGCCACTCAAATCCTCACCAACAAAGCTATTTACGTTGTAATAGGTGGCTATTTTGCCCATTGTCGTGATTCTATCACGTTTTTAAAACAAATTCGCTTGTAGAATCCATATAATGATGGAGGAGCGTCCTTTGCCGTTGCATTTCCCGGGAGTTTTTGTTACCACTTTCTTGGTATTTCAAATTCACTTTCCTCAACTAACCTCTCATAATTAGGAAGGGCTTCCTTTCCAACATCAACAAGTATCTGTTCAAAAGATAGAGAGAAATTACTTACATGGCATTCATTGAAACCAAAATTCATATAAGCATAATTCAATAACATAATTTTGACCTAGTGATCCCACATTTGTATCTGCTTTTGTGTCATATTACAATATAGAACATATTGACAAATAAGGATTAAAATAAAACACCTACATTTTTTTTTAAAAATCACATCCTTCTCTGATATATTACATAGTATATTGTGTATTTTGTGACGAAACATTTAGAATATGGACCCACTGATTAACTTTGATTCATTTACTAACGCAATTATTTTGAATCCATTGCAAGTTACCTCTTCTCAGCGAAGAGAATCTTTGCCTGCATGATAAATACCCGTCTGAATAAGAAGCAAGACATATCTCCGATTGCAGGTTCTTCATTCCATCCATATTTATGTATGAAAATTGGCTTTCATTGAGAAGAATTCATACGCAGAGTGATTAATATTTGAAGTCATGATTCAATCATGAGGAAAGGTTGTCATCTAATAGATATCAGATGACGCAAAAAATGAAGTGAATAAGAATCAATTGTGCTCCATCAAGTGTATACAATGAATGTACCAAATCTTGAATTCCACAGATGCAATAACCTTGACTTTGATGCATGACCTTGATCATGGAGATGGCTATGA